TCTGCCTTCATCCACAGAGGCAGTCACCTCATTACAGAAGGCAATTAGATTGCAGGGTTGAGGGTAGGGTTTAGAGTTATGGTTGTATGGGATGGTTTGGATAGGAATGATCCTGCCTCAGGGAGGGGGCTGAACTAGGTGACCTTCTGGAGGTCCCTTCCAGCCCTACTTCCTATGACTCTATGACTACCTATGAAAGTTTGGGGGCTGCTGTTCTATTCTGCCTAAGCTCCAGTAGTCTGTAACCACAGAACTTTCAAATATCATCTATTTGGTTATTTAAGAAGTTTAAATTTCTATCCCAGGCATTTGATCTGTGGTCACACAGGACTGTTATTTCTTTGTAGCTTAGCTTCAACACAGCATGATTGAAATAGCCCACTTGCCACAATCCTAAAGAAAATTTTCTGCCATATTTTTCTTCTGCACACCAGTTTGGAATGTGGAGGAAAAGCATGAGCATTTCAATATGGAAGACAAGAAAGGAAGAAAGTACGCCAGGAACTTTGAAACCTGGATGGCCTATTTCTGAAATAAGAATATCGTCGGGGCATCCCGAAAGTGCTGGAATTGCAGAGCTGATGATCCTTTTCACAGTTAAAGCTTAGAAATTAATAGCTATCAACTGTGTAGTAGTGGTGTTTTCTTCTTATCAACCGCATTCAAAGCTACATTTTTTTCTACTCATTACTTATACCCAAGGTAAATACTTGGTATATATGAACCCTGTTCATTGTCCATCTTTTATTAAAGGTTCACTTCCAATTAAACACTCATGATTTATTTTCCAGATTCCAGTACATGTTTCTGGAAACACTTATTTTACTGGAAGTAGTAAAGCAAAAAAAAAAAAAAAAAGCCTATAAAAGTTTCTCTAAGTAACAGCTCTTCCTGCCTCTTAGAGATGCTGGAGAAATAGTGTGCAGTGTTAATAGATACCAGGTGTAGATAAGCTTTGGCATTTCTATAGATGAAACAGAAATACTTTGGTTTGTATTTACTCAAACTTCACTGAGGATCCAGCCAAAAACTGCAGCTAGAACTGTCTGTGAGAACAAGATGGCCGAGGTGGAAACTTTAAAAATCATTTCCTCTCCTCAGTCTACAGAAAATGAATTTGTCAGCAGAGGAAACAGTTGTAAATCCAAATGCCATCATAATTCGAACCATCTTCTCAAGAGTGAGAGACACAAGCAAAAGACCCTGCCAGGAAACTTCACTGGGTGGGTACTCTTGTCATCAACTTTTGGGACTACGTTTGCCAGGAGCAATAGGAGAACTCCCAAAAGCCCAAAGACTGATCACAAACAATAACCAACTGAGTCTAACTCCCTGGTTCTGCTCTTATCTTTTCTCTCAAAAACAGGGACACAACAATGGTTTTTAAATGCTACCCATCACGTAAAGTTTTTCTGCAATCTCTGTTGTCATTTTGTAAGTCAGCACTAGCTGCCAGGGTTAACAGGGTGAAGTAGTACCATATTTACTCAAATGTAAGACAACCCAATAATTAGAGTCTACATGTGGAAAACTTATAAATGTATTATAGTTTTCCGTGTATGGAATCTAATTATTGAAGGATCATATTTTTTGCTCTGCCCTCACCTATTTCAGGTATTGAGGGGAGAGGTGATGAGGGAGGCAGCAGAGGCAGGTGGTATGGGACAGAAAGTAGGAGGAAGCAGTAGTGGGGCATACGAAATCTAATGTCTATGAAATCTATATGGGAGGGCAGGCAGTGGGGGGCAGGTGGTAGGGGGGCAGCTGGTGAAAGAAGCAAGCAGTTTGCTCCCTGCTGCCTGTCCCCCTCCTCACCTCCACTTGCCACTCCATTGTGCCAGCCCCTCCCCTACACCACAGCCTCAGGCTGCCCCAATTCTCCCTTCCTCTCCTCCCTCCTCCATGCTGCTTCTGCCACCAACAAACCCAAGTCCCTGCTCCCCCTTCTTCCCACCTCCCATCTCCCCCTCCTCCAGAAGTCTCTCCCCCCTGCCTACCCCCCAAACTTGCTCTGAGCTCACATCTCCAGGCCCATCCCCAGCAGAGCCCTGTAGCAGCAGGCATGTGAAGCCAGCACAGCTGCTTGGTAGCAGGGAGGGAGGAGGCAAGGGGGGCCATGGAGCAGACATGGGAGGACAGGGATGCCAGATAGGGGGAGGGGGACTGGAGGCTGCAGGGGAGAATCCAACCCCAACCCAGGTTGGGGCTGGAGCAGCAGCAGCAGCTGCCACTGTCACCACCCCACAGCACCTTCCTGCCTCATGTTAGATTCTAAATGGGAGGAAAATCCTCATTTTCTAATTGAGTAAATAAGCAACAATAAACAATATACTAAATTATTATAAAAGTATATATAATGTCATATTCAACCCTGCCCCAGCATTTTGGGTGCAGTAATGGCATTCCGCCATTCTCCCATCCCATGTTCAGACCAAGCACGTACATTTAACAGTAGATAAAACTAATGCTTTAGTGGGGATTATTCCTTACTGCTCATGACACCAGAGCTAAGTAGAAGTTAAACATTTTGCCAAGGTTTCAAGTAGAGTTATAAAGCAAAGAGACACTAAGCAACTGCAGGCCTGTTGAACCCTAGCATATTTTGAACAATAATTGAGGGCCAAATCCTATTCTACCCATTAAGAACCTAAGCTCTTAATGGATGGAATAGGATCCCTAAAAGCCATTTTGCATCTCTGAAAACCATTAACAGAAAAGGTGGATGGGTTCTTACTACCTGCAACTGTCTCAATACTGAGATGAAAGCATGTTACTAAAGCATCACATGCATTAGCAGTTTTCAGAAATCTGAGAAGGACTGCATTTAGGCACAGATATCTAAATGGCTTTTAGGCATCTACTAGGTGGAACAGGACCTGGCCCTAACTGTATATTTCACTTTGTTTTGAGAACTGCACATGGTGACTGGGGTACTGAGTTAGGGTCACTGCAGTCAGTGACCCTAACTCAGTACACTACTGAAGCATGTATTGAACTTAAACGGGGTTACACGTGTGCTTAAACTTAATATGACAACTTCTGTGCTTGAAAGGTAGGTGCTTAAGCTCCTTGCCGAGTCCGAACCAAGTACACTGATAGCACAGGAAAATAATAAAACCACTGAGACTCTAGAATGAGTTACCTTGTAAGAAGAAACTGGGAATTCTGGATAGTCTGCTGACTGTTTTCTGTGTTAGATGTGTTGGTTGTTGCTGTAGATTGTGTAATTGTGGTGGTGACGCTACTTGTATTGGTGCGCCTGGTTGCATTGCGTGCAGTCTCCAGTTGTTGTCGTGCTGCCTGTGCGTGTTGTCGTTCTAACTGCAGTTGCATCTGCAGCTGCTGTAACTGAGAAGCAGAAGGGCCAGAGGAATTGAGCTGTCCTCCTGCAGAACGTCTCACCCCCGATAACTGAGATAAAAGCTCTGCCAGTGAAGAGGAGAAAAAGCACCATGATGAAACCTGCTTCAAAAGTACACATACTTCCCAAGCATCAATGCATTACTTCTGCCTTTCCAAAATACCTGAAAATTTATTAAATGCTTATATACTGTCAATGGGAGGGGTAGGGGGTGGGCATGGGGCTTTGCAAGAACAGTCGCACTGGAGAATCTCTGTATGGTCAAGAAATTCAAAGTTTGAAACCTTACAAACAACTGAAGAAGAAAGGGCACTTCCTATGTATTAAGGACTGGTCCCGAGGTGAATACGTGGGCTGCCTATTTCTTAAAGGGTTATCTTCTAATCAAGGCAGCTGTTGCCTTGGCAACCACTTCATTTTTGGCTGAAGTCAGTGCCTTGTCTCTCTAAACAAATACACTTTATTCCCATGGTATTCAAGATGGAAGTTGGGTTGTAGAGAAAAATTAAAGTGACATTGCCAACACTTCTGTCAGATATTTTTGGAGAAGATTTGATTCAGAAAACATTTTTCAAATACTGTATGCTACTTAAGTTCTGTTGGGAACAAAAGCCAAAAGGCTTTGTTTTTCCAACTCTATGCCTTCTCTCAGATTGACCTAATAAAGGTACCAACTGCCAGATATATAGAGAGGGCCTAACTAAATGAAGACTTGTTTGGCTTTGGGTGGGGGTCACACAACCTTTCCAACTAAGGAGGAGTACAGAGCAAGTTTTATCTGCATCAAAAATAATCTAAAAAATAAGTTTTAGTAGTAAAGTCTGGTTCTGTGTATTACTATAGAACTTATTCTGCTTTCCAAACCTTTCTGGGCACTGCTGGATTAGCTGTGTGTAGTTTGGGAAGTGAGCAGGAAAAATGGAGGAAAGAGTTTTGCCACACATTTTTTAATCTTCCTTTTAAAATTATTACTACTGCAGCTTAATATTATTGGTCATGGTGACTTCCCCCCCTACTTTTCTTTCGGTCACATTCACAATTATGACTCCCAAAGTTAGACTTCCCTGCCTGGGTGCTGCAGAATGCACTAGCTCTGTGCAAGGAGCTTGCCGGATACCAGCAGCCAGCAGGCAAATAATGCAATCCTACTCAGCACAGCTATGCTTACTAAGATTAATACTACCACTAGCAATAATTAAAGGTTTATTTCACTTTAATCACTGACCAGCCCCGTGAGAGAATTCATCTTATGATAAACATGAGTAACAGAATTTTAAAACTTTATTTACCAGTAGATTAAAAATAATAAAAACCAAAAAAGCCCCAAAGAACTTGTTCTATCCCCTCACATAAGTTCTGGTTTTACAAGTGTTTTAGATGAACTCTGTGACCATCATTTGCAGAATGCATGCCTTGACCCCACTTCTATAGCCCTACTTAGATACCACAAGCTGCTGTCACTATTTTCATGAACTGTACTGAAATATTACAATGTAATTTGGCTGTGCAGAAATTGCTGATTGTCCAGCAAATGGAAACAAAACTGAATTTAGATAGATCAACAAACTTTAAAAATGGATTCTCCTTTAAAGGAGAAAAATGTGGGAAACCAAGTTCCAGTCTGCAAGGGGCTGCTTGGGGCCCCCCCATGTCTCCTGCCCCATACACTGGGGGGCTGGAGCCTGGGGGCAGCGCGTTGGGAGTGAGAGGCACTGGGTTGGGACTGGCCATCGATGTTTACAAATGGGTCCTGGTCAAAAAAGGTTGAGAACCACTGATCTAGATGTTATACCTACAAGATAGGCTCACATAACAAAGCAGCAGCAGGTTGACAATAATTTCATGGCTTTTGCTAGTTTGTTTCAACCACTGCTACATTTTGCCAGTATTTTTTTATATTTAAACAAACATGGCAACGTGTCTTTTAACTATTCATTTTAAGTTAGTTCCAGTCAAGGTTAATTCAAACCACTTATACACATGTCACGAACACCAGAAAACTAAAGATACTCCTGACTTGAGAGGGAACACATAGCTGGCAGTCTAATAAGGAAGAGAGATGTAGAAGGGAGGACAAAACAAACGCCCACACATTCCCTATTATAAGGACTATTTTGTGGCGTACCTAGACCTTAGCTGCAGTAACTTGTCTGCTCATATGGACCATAAATAGGTTATCACTTCAACAGCCCTTGCAACCCACTGCAGACAGCCACTAAGAAGTGAAGTAAGAGGTAAAGGCCTTCAGCCAAGGTGCACTGCACTCCCCTACACAAGAATATGGCTCTCTTTTGAACTTTCCTTTGGCTTCTGGACCATTCAAATACTCACTCCCTGCCCCCAGTAGGGAGTTTTCTAGACAGATATAGATTAAGATAAGGAAGCTTGGAAAAAAAGATTCATGCCGTCTATAATACAGTCTGCAAACCCCACACCTAAACAGGAAGCAAGGGCATGCTGGAAAAGATGCATGATCCTATAAGTGCAAAATGCTGGCCACTTCCGGCTCTGCCTGGCTTTATACCTACCTGTGGACAGATGTAAACTATTGACACTGGAGTGCAAGTAGCATAAGCAACTGTAAGAGTTGCACATTTCTAGAGATATATAAATGGAACAAAGCCTTTTTTTCAGTAACCATTTCATGTAGTGTTAAAAAGACAGCTATCTACTTCACTTATACCACTACAGGAGCATGCAGATGTAACAAGTACATCCCTACAACTGATGTCATACAGCCATTGCTTTCTGCATAGATCCAGTGTACCTAGTCTCCCCAATTAGGTACTCACATCAATTTAAACCTTCTCCCTGGGGCAAGCAGTATACGCATATATCTAAACAAAACAGACCCAGGAAAAAGCTGGGCAATCGTTATATTGGATGTTATAGCTAAGTGTGGAGAAAGACTCCAAAAGAAAAACAATGTAGACTGATTCTTACCAGCTATAGGATCCATGGCTTCCCTATTGCTTGGAGAATATGAACTCTGCGAAGATGAAAGCCCACCAGTGGAACTGCTAGTAAAGTGCATGTTTGATCTACGTGCGCGAGGACCCCCCAATCCCCGGCCTGGGTGAAACATTCTACGAACATGCCGAACACCACTGGATTCATCGTAACCAGACAGTTAAGAAAACATGAAGTTATTTGATAAAGAGTATTAAACAGCAAAAGTCTGAATAGTATGGCTGGGGGAAGGGAAGAGGCACAGACCAGATTCTTCCTACTGAAAGCTGTGTTTCAGCCTGCCTATTGTTATGGTGTGCTCACAGATCTTTGCACCACTCCTATTAGTGTCATGATCTCTCCTTGCTCTTCCAAGAGTTGTCTTCCATGATTCTAGTGATGTGACTATAGCGATGGAAGCTGGCTCCTGCATGAAGTCCTAAAATAGGATAGTGTCCCCTCTTCTGCCCATGGTTTTAGGAGCCTCAACTGAGCAGGGAGAAACCACCAGTGATGAACATCTATGTTCAGACCCATGGGTCATAACACAAATGCAACAGACTTGGTGGAGACATAGCAAAACTGGGGAGGGGTGGGGAGGAGAAGGGCGGAGAATATTTATCCTATTCTAATCAACACCTCATTCACCTCTATGAAGCTTATTTCAGTGTATGGCTGATGCAACTTTAACAAATAAAGCCACAGCCTTTTTTTCAACATCAGTCATGACACACACATATAAATACATATATAGGCTGCAGTGGATTTAAATTATGACACTTCATTCTTCTTTAGTTCTACTTAATGTCAAGCTCCTCCAACAACTGAATGAAGTGGCAGTTGTAACATGTAAGTAGAACTGAGATGCCACTACCTGCTTGGTACAATTAAAGTAGCTATTACTATTACAGGTAACAGCCTTGTCTTTTTTTCTTGACTGAGAAAAGGATATTAAATCTCTAGGAGCTCTGTGTTCCAGTGTAAGATGAGCTGCAAAGTCATCTGTAACATGATTAGGATCCCCTCCAGGTAATGCTGCACATATTGGACAGATCTGAAATGACAAAGTCAGAAAAACAAGTTTAACATTTCCACATAAACAATACAATGCACTTATCAGTTTGGGCCAATCTCTTAATGTTAACTACCTTGATTTAAAAATCAAGTTTAATTGCTGTAGGTAGGTAGCCAGCCACAGGAAGAATGCTCAAAGAAAAACAAATTTCAAAATCAGTTTTTAAAAGCTACCTTTCCCCCTTTTCAGTTAGTTTTTAATGACACACTGAACACCCAGAGTGAAATTTGCTTTCAAATTCTGACTAACTCACCAGTTTTCAAGCCATCTGCTGCATGCTAATTTGCATGCAGAGGGGAAGGGCTTGCTTACACTCAGTGTTACAGTATAACCTCATAACTCCGGCATGCTCAGGATCAAGTACCTGCTGGAAATTGGAAAATTCTGGATTTTTAAAACCAGAGCGGCAGCCGGTCCCAGAGCAGCGGCCGCATGTGGAGCAGGGTGCTGGATGGCGGCGGCAGCCAACACATACAAGCTTCCCCCTCTGCGTCCAGGGGAGCGGAGGGGGAAGCTTAAAATGTGTCAGATTTTTGAGAATTCCGGATTTTTGATATTGGGATTTATGAGGTTATACAGTGCTAACTGCTTTGGTGCACTAGCTCAGTGACATCCACAGCTTCATTCAGTGCTCTTGGAAGGCACAAGCACTTTCCCATTCATTCTCCAGGAAGGATACAAAATAAGATATGCATATTCATTAGCTATCACTGATACCATTTGAAGAAGTGTCCTCCCTAAGATAGCATTTAGAGGCAAGAAAAGAACCACTTTATATCCCTCTGCCTCTACTTCTACAGTAGCATTTGCAGGCTACTCCATATTACACCCTTCGAAGTGAGGAGCCTGCAAGAACACTTCCATTCAGCCCACAAGAGTGGTGTAGCTTGGGTCCGACTATTTACTCTCCTTTTCCATCACGCCTCCTCTTGTCTTTCTGGGGCTTCCCTGAAGGTGGCAGCAGCCAGTTTTTGGAGCTGTTGCTCTGCACAAAGACACGTGGGGCACTGGCAGATGTTATATTTGTCACAGGTTAGATGCAACTTTTGCACGACAAATCTTAACATTCCAGATGTTAAAAGAATTTATCCCAAGATAAAGAGGCACATCTACCACGAAGAAGTTGCTGGTTGAAACAGCAACTTCTTTGGGATATAAATGTATTCCATGACAATTTTAATACCTGGCCAGTTACAGAGAGCAAACCAGGGCATTCCCAGGTCCTCTACTATCCCTGAATGCACTACTCTATGTCCCCAAGAGCAATTCACAGAGGCAGTGGTAAGCCATGAATTTCAACCTAGTCGATAAGAGCATGCATAGCATCTCTAGCCTTAGCTGGAACAGAGGCTAAGGTACTGAGTTAGTCTGGATCTATTCTGAGCTTAGAAAGAGGGTCCAGGAAGCAAATGGACCAATAACACTACAGCTTTGCAGTAACAGCACAAGTTGGGGTTGGCAAAGGGGGGCTAGGGGGGTGGGGAAAGAGGGGGAAGGGGCGACAGGACACTTATTTTCTATCTTAAGAAAATACAAAGATGTTTTTACATTTTTTGAACTTTTTTTTGAATTTGAGACAAACAAATATTCTGAACAGACAAATACAAGATGCTTTAATGGCTGACTATGGATCTGTCCTATCAGCTGAGCACTCACTCTCTTGGACTTGTAATTTCAGTTTTTCACTGTCTACTCTAAACTTTTCTTCCCAAATTTCTTATTGTAGAAGAAACAGTAAACATACAAGTGTGAACAAAGCAAGCACAGGTATTTTAAAGTGCCTGGAACAACTCAGCTACTAGAAGTGCCTTGCTTACAGTAGTGCTAGCAACACTGGGAAACTTTAGGAAAAGTCCAATGTAGATACAGATCTAAGGGAGACCTGAACTATTAATCAAAACATGAAGAGAGGACACAGGTCCCATTTATACACCATGAAGCAAAAAATGGACATAAAGCTACACTGTCTGGGCAGGTCACCTGTAATCACTAGTCTGATATGTTTGTTTACCCGCCAAAATATCCACATTTCAGAGCAAAATGGAAATGAGAGACTGACCTAAAAAAACCAAAAAAGCAGTTTGTAGGGCAGTAATTCTAAAATCTGGTGGCAGATAAATGCTGCTCCCCTGCTGTTAAATTTCTGGATCCGGGGAGAGTCCCACGGGCCAAACAACATGGCTCTAAACTGAGCATGTAGGCAGAGCAGGGCCAATCAGGATGGTACAGAGCCCTGCCCTACCTATCTGACCCATGCCACATTGAGCCAAAACACTGAGCACCACTGAATTAAGACTATTGCTTTTGGGGATTATATGCTGACTAGAGAGGTAGTTAGTGATGTGAATCTCAAGTCCGGCAGAAGGCAGGGCAGGGTGGCACTTTATAGGCAAACTTGTTTACAGAAACGCAATATATTTACTAAGTTATGTCTAGGCTAGACTGCTTCATGCTATTCCTATATACCTGCGGGGGAAAAAGGGGGGACAGAAAGCAATATAGTTAATAGCAAAACAGGGATAAGGAAAAGGTTCTGCTTAGGAAAATGTTACATTAACATAATAATAATAAAGATGGCATGACATTGGCCCCAAAACTTGAAAGAGATGCAAAAATTATAAGGTGGCATGGCTGGGCATATAACTAGAGTATTGGGGATGGGGGGAGGGAAGGGAAATAAAATAACAGAGTAAATAAAAAGCCCATAAATTCATGTACAACAGGCTTAGCAGCTGAGTGATACCATGTCTAGTGACGATGGCAACTATTATTTTCCAGCCAAGTTTATCTAACAAGCTATAGTGTGTGTCACTAGAGAACTAACAGGAGAGGACACTCAGAAAGTAACAATAAAGCAGACGTGCTACTCAGTTTACTAAAATGCTGTCATAAAAATAGCCCCTATTTTCCTAATAAAGATGTACTTCCCAGAACAACACAACAAACAAGAAAAGTGATCAAATGAAACAGCAGGAAGAGAGCATTTAAAACATCGATACTAAAAACTCATCAACCATCTTCAGACACACAGGTAAGATAATCATGGAAAATAATCATCCTCAACCGCGAGGGACTGCTGAAGAAAGAAGACTGAAAACTACATAGGAATTATGTAGAATGGTCTTTTACACCCAAAAGGTAATAGATTTTTATACAAAAAAAGAGGAATTATTCACATCTTGCAATAAATGTGGCAAACTGCTTGTAAACTTATACAAAAACTATTATAACATCAAACAAGGATGACATTAATAAAATCACCAGTTAATGCAACACTCTGGAATTTCTATCAACAGTTGCACAGTCTTGAAAACATGGAGCCAGCATGAGAAAGTTTGTCTAGAAGTTACAATTCCTCATGTCAACAGGCAGAAAAAAAAGTCATAGTACTCTGAATGGAATTCAAGAAACAAATAAAGCCAAGTCAGTTCAGGGGCAGCATGGAGATATGACTTGACCACGTGTTTTTGCTACCACTGCCTCAATATTTCAACCAGATGCAGAATTACTCAGATAACAGAAAACTTAGCACTTACAAGTAACAAAGCTTTGGTGTTTCTCTTTCAAGGAAGATCAGAACAGGGACCGTGCGCCTTTTCTGTCCCACTTTTCCTTCAGTGTGAGTAGCATTCTTGCCAATGTGTTTACGAAGAGAATTACACCTCACAATTAACGCATACAGATGGGGCCATTTTACTATCCATCTTCTGTATACATGGATGGGGACTGAAGACATCGTTTCTTAGAACCAACAAAGAAAAGAGTCTGCATCTCCTCTAAACATTGATTCTGAGAACTCTGGATTTTGACCATGGATGAGTCAATTTTATTCAGCTACAGCTGCAGCAACAACAGCTAACTTTATGTCAATCAGAGCCTTCTGCACTCCCAGGAGAAATGGAATAAAACTGCCCTTTATGAACTGCATTGGCCACTTAAGTCCTGACCACTGCCTTTTGATCACCTTCATCTACTACAGGAGTAAAAATGGCAATTACTGCTACAATACTGAAGCAGTCACAGAAATCTGCAGCACATGGATACCCTTGGGAATTTGCATGATCTTAATTTTGAACAAGTAATCCCTCTCACCCAGATATAAACATCTCTTCAATTAAAATTAGCTCTCACTAAACTTAAAAATGTTATAGGAATTCCACTCATCAGAAATCTAAATATGTTGAGAGAAATTTTCCAAAACTACTCCACAAAAAAATAAACTGATAAAGCAAACATTTCACTGAGACTACTTTATCTCCTCTATGCAACTTCCATAAGCTCAGTTATTAAACATACTTCAGGATCCTGCTATCCTACGGTTACTATACATCTGGATTTTCCCAGACACGTTTTCTGTTTGGGTCCTCTGATTTCCATCTGGGTGGGTTTTTTAAAATATGAACCAATGTCCAAGATTTTGCTCTTCTCAGCATCAGCGTTTTCCCAGCACTTCCTAGCTTGCCTTAGCAAGGATCTGACTGGGGCCGGGAGTAGCAGGGGGAGGGCAATTAGAGGCAGGGGGCACCGCAGATGCATCCACACAGCAGCCAGGCAATGTGGTAGGAGCAGCCCAGGATACAGGGAAGTCTATCAGGAGTGGGGGTTGGAGGGCCAGGCCTTGGGGACTGTCCAGGGGTGGGTGTGTGTTCACATCTACATGAGATGCTGAATGCACAGTTGTTACTGCACAATCATTTAGTACTTGCATACACAAGTATGAAATGACTGCACAGTAACTGGAGTTACTGTGCAGTAGTGTCCCTGAACATCTTCGTGGTGATGCTGACTGAGCAGCAGTTTGTTAACACTTCACACCATGTGATGCTACTGTGCAGTAGTAATGAACTACTGCACAGTCAGCATCTCATATAGACATGACCTGTGTGTGTGAGAGACAGAGAAAGAGAGACAGACAGAGAGAGGCCTGTTGACACCAGGGGAAGTCATCTGGGTGCTAGGGCTGGAGCAGGGCAGGAGGAGAGGCATGAAGGTGTCTGCCCCTCCAGGGGCAGTGGGGAGCTGTGTGGCTGGGCTGGCAACACTGGGGCTGGTCCCTTGCTTGCAGGGGCAAGGCACCTGCCCCCGGTATGGTCCATAGCTCCCCACCCCCTCAGGGTCCTCCTGTAACAGCCGCCCCCCGCCTGCCCCTCCAGTGCAGCACGGGGCAGTATGGTTTGGACCCAGCTGCCTGGCTCCCAGAGCTGCCTGTAACCCATTGCATGGGCCCAGCCCAGCACAGTGTGGTGCATCTCCAGGCAGCTCTGGGTTGCTCGGGCTGCCACCCGGAGCCCTGTGCCACTCACGGGGACCGCATGTCATGCCGGGCCAGATCCTGCCTGCATGAGCTCCATGCGCCGTCGAACTGGGCTGGTTCCATGCACATAGGACCAAGCCCAGCGTGACACGTGGTCCCCACGAGCGGCATGGGGCCCCGGGTGACAGCCCAAGCAGCCCAGAGCTGCCCGGAGGTGCATGGCACCGCACCAGTCCCACATGATGGAGCACAGGCAGAGCCAGGTGCCAGGCAGCTGAGGCTGAGCTGTGCTGCTCTGCACTGCGCAAGAGGGCTGTTCCAGGAGGGCCCAAGCACCCCAATGGCTGCTGCTGATGCAGGTAAGCTCTGGGCCCTGCGGGGGAGCTGTGGCCCCTTTGGGGGGAGGGCAGTCCATAAGCTGTGCAATTTGTGCCGCTCCTATTTGAGCTGTGGCAAATTCACATGCCTGCATATGTGGACGAGCCAAATAGGATTTCTTCTTGTTAAACTGAATTTAATCAACTGCCTAAATAAAAATTTACAGTTACGGGTAAAATAAGCATAATTTTAACCCTGGTTTAAGAGTCAGAAAGCTATTCAGTATGAAACATCTTTTACTGCCATACCTATTTTACAAACTAACTCAATGTCAATATCTAAACAAGAATAACCGTTTCAAACCCTAGGCCCATAAGAAAGTATTATAGCTGTGAATTCTTTCTTCAATAACATGCCTATGCTTTTCTTTTTTAAAGAAACAACATCACCTCCAAAATCTCCTTACAATGAAAAGACAAATCATGCTAGATTAGCTATTTACTGACATTTTGTGTAATCACATTACAATAAATACTTTCAATACTGTAGATGAAAATATGCTCCTCCAATACAAGTTCAAAACAAAGACATGAGAAAATAAATACCAGAAACTGATCTGGTAACAAAGAAGAAATTTAATTTTCAGAGAAGTCTAGAACCTGGAACTCGAACTAAAATCAGTGGAGCAGCAGGTGCCAAACACCACAAAGTAGACTTCAAAGTTAGTGATCAAATAAAGAATTTTAAACACAGTTCCAATTTGAAAAACTAGGAAGTATCACTGACATCAAGTGGCAGGAATCAAGAATTACAATACAAAATCAACCATTGAAAGGAATTTAAGAAGGGGGGAGAGAGGAGGAGGCGGGGGTTAACTGCTATCATAGTTTCATAGCTGGTAGGGTTGGAAGGGACCTGAGGAGAGCATCCAGTCCGACCCCCTGCCATGGCAGAAAAGAGCACTGGGGTCAAATGACCCCGGCCAGATGTTTATCCAACCTTTTTTTAAAGACCCCCAGGGTAGGAGCCAGCACCACTTCTTTTGGAAGTTGGTTCCAGGTCCTAGCCACCCTGACTGTGAAATAGCGCCTCCTAATGTCTAGCCTGAAACTACCCTCCGCTAGCTTGTGTCTGTTGTTTCTTGCAACTCCCGGTAGTGCTCGGGGGACCAGGGACTCTCCCAATGCCTGCTGGTCCCCCTTGACTAATTTGTAGACTGCCACTAGATCCCCTCTCAGCCTTCTCTTGTGGAGGCTGAACAGGTTCAGGTCCCTCAGCCTCTCCTCGTAGGGCCTGCCCTGCTGACCCCTGATCATGCGGGTGGCCCTCCTTTGGACCCTCTCCATGCTGTCCACATCCCTCCTGAAGTGCAGTGCACAGAACTGGACTCAGTACTCCAACTGCGACCTGACTAGTGTCGCATAGAGGGGGAGGATCACCTCCTTGGACCTGCTAGAGATGCATCTGTGGATGCACGGCAAGGTATGGTTGGCCTTCCTGACCATGTCCCCACTTTGTCAGCCCATGTTCATTGTGGCATCAATGATGACTCCAAGATCCTTTTCTGTCTCAACACTGGCGAGAAGGGAGTTCCCCAGCCTGTAGGTGTGCCACTGGTTCTTCCTCCCCAGGTGCATTACCTTGCACTTGTAAGTGTTGAACCCCATCCTGGTCTCATCGTCCCACCCCTGTAACCTGTCTAGATCATGTTATTTAAAAATGGAAGTTTGAATTAAACCTAGGGAGGTGGGGAGGAGAATGGATGGAGATAAAAAAAGAAAGGGATATGCATCCAGGGGTGTATCTGTGGCAAGTAGGGAAGCTTGCTACTCACTGGTACAAGGGGGTTGCAATCCTGAGCTCTCCATGTACCGGCAATAAGGCACAATGGGATCTGATGGCTCAATCCCAAACCATGCCTCCTGCCAATCATGTGTGGCATGGCAGAAAACACAATTGAGAGGATTGTGCATCAGATCCCGTGACACTTTTACTTGCCTGTCTGTCAGGGGCCACAGTGAACTATTGGAGACGCTGTCATGACATGCAGAAGACAAGATTGTTTTACAAATCTGAGTAAGAAATGTACATTTAATTGTAATGATAACAGACTAATGATGCAATATCGAGTATTTTGACTATTTTTTGCCTAGCTTGTTGAGTTTTTAAAAAATTGTATGTTTTAAAATGCCAAAAGGTTGCAGTGTTCTTCAAAACATGGAGAAGGACTAAAACAAAGGAATCAGAAGAGAGCAAAAACATGATGAGTCATTCCTCTACCACGTATCAGTTGGGCTGTAATCCACTTCAAGCTTTCACGTTTTTCATATCAATCTCCAACAACCAAAAGTAGAACTGGACAATTCTTAACTAGGTTCACTATACCACATGTTCCTGAAGTGTGAGCAGCATCTGCACATAATCTAACACTGACTTCCAGTTCTGGAGAGAGCACCTTGGCTGTCTAGTTGCTGAGAGACCTTAACCTGGAACTGCTGATAACTGTTGTTGCTGAAGACAGGAAACACAGGAAGAGAAAAGGTCTCCTGGGCCAATGAGTACACAACCCCTGCTCATTTGTGGCCTACAGTTAGTCAAAGGAATCCACAAACCCAGCACTTTTAGCCTTTACCACTACAAGGAACAAGATCTGAAAACTGTCTAGGTACAGCAGTAACATGCACATTTACATTGTACATTGTAAATATGCAATTAAATTACCTATGAAAAAATCTGCACTGCATTTCAATTTACAAATGTAACAAATATTGCCATCTTAACACACACAGAACTCTAAAAAAAACTTCAAGAAAATAAAATGACAGGAATTCACATTTTTTGATAAATACATAGTAAAGCTTTAATTATTTTAATATATTTTCACCATAATTAACAGGTAATACTGCTTCTACTTACCACTTCTGTTGATGTTTCTGCATGTTCAGAAGTAACATGTTCTTGAAGAGATGTTTCCGTATAACCCATTTTTCCACAATAAGGACAAGTAAAAGACTGTGGCTGCTCTACAGAGAAAGCTTCTCCACCATAGTACAAATCTGGAAGAGAAAATTTGTGGGTAGACTTTATTCATAAAGAAGCATGGTCCACTACTCCTACATATATTACTTTAACGCCCATGTGTATATTCACTCTGTCAATTAGTCATTTGTTAAAATACCATTTGACCTCAGACACTAACAGGTTATTTCACTTAAAATGCAACCAGACAGTGATATTCATAAAGTTGTTCAGTTAATTAAACGCTCAAAGGAGTACACATGTTACACTTAATTTTGTATATGCAAAAACACCAGAACAGCAATAGGCGTTGTTTTTGGGCAGAGTGCAACCTTGACTTATAAGTCGTTGGTGTGTCAGGGGCAGACAGCAGGGGAGCCGCAAGGGGTGTGATCCTTGTTGTGTCAGCAACCCCGGCCCCTCCCCTGCCATCTGCCCAAGACACACATGCCAAGCAAAATGCCTGTGTGCACCATGCTCTGGCACACGTGCCAGGGATTGCCTACCCCTGTACCAAAACTTCTAAGTGTCCAGTAACTGCAAGTATCACATGTGCTACTTTGTTTCACTTGCATTGCCTACGCAAAATTTTTTCCTCACCACGACAACTGTTACTCCTTGTACAAGCTCATCCACGGTGGAAACATCAATGTGGACAGCTCTCAAGGCAGGTTAATGGTATTTTAAACACTAAGCTCTTAAGCCAGCTCTCAGCAAATCCATGTGGAACAGTATTTTAAAACATCTCATCTACACTAGCATTTCCTTTTGCTGAACCACAGCTGTGATTGAATCATTGTTAGAAATAATGGAAAACACTACAACAGTGATTTTCAACCTTTCAGATTCAAGGGACCTCTTGGAAAATGCCAGCTCTTAGTTTGCACTCTGTTTTTGACTATGAAAAAATAGAGCAATTCTTCTGTTACAAAGAACTTAGAAGGACAAAAGCAGCTGAGAATGGGCAGGTACCTGCATTATACAGTGTTTTTTGCACCTTCTGAAAATGCAGCCCCTGATCCAGAACAGCATTTTCTATTGTTTCTACCATCATACAAAAAGGGCATTTCTTTAGTCATGCAAAAAGGGCATTACTCGTACCAATAGCAAATCTCACTCTCCAAATTTAGCACATCCATGCAATCTCACTGCAGGACTCAAATCCTTGTCCAGGTGGTCACTGGACCATTTATGACCAATAACGGGCAGTTATAGGATGTGTGCACACCCTTGAGCTCAGTATTTCAAGGGCAATGGCAAGATCCAGCAGCCTCTTCTAATGGTCCTCCTATTCCTGTCGGCTTCAAGAAGCCATGTTGGTAGGTAGGCTACTAAGTAGAGTTAAGAAGATACAATAAGTATAATACAAGCAATAAATAGATCTTCACTCCATCCTGCATCTGAACTGGCAAATAAGACTCTAGGTAGGCAAGCTGCAGCTTTTGTGGAAGCTAGCAAGATCCCTATGAAGGTCAATACCTGAGCAAGGGACAGTACATTTACCTTCATTTAGTCTCAGGCTGAAAGATGTGAAAAAAGAGCAAGCAATTCTTCCATTAGGAAACTTCTGGGCTCTCAAACTGTCATTCCACTAGCAGCCACTGACAATGTAGTTGAACAAGAAACAACCAAAGAATGTGGCTTCTAACCCAAAAGCAATACCTTTGGCTGGCACTAGGACGCTGCTTACCTGAACCAGAAATACTTAGTGCTTTAACCTTTTAAGATGTTCAATAGGCATTAGAAGGTCAACTTCCTCAATTCAGTAGAGCGATTCGACAGCAGGGATTATGCCACCCAGCAACAGAAGAGATTGGCTTTTTCTTAGTAACCTGTTCAAACTTGCAATGATCTAGAAAAGGCACAGGACACAAGTTCCTCCAGAATACAAAAATGAAGTTCTGTGCGTCGTTAAGTTTCTAGTTCCACCTCTGTACTTCCGGTTGTTAACATATTTTTCCCCCCATCACAGGGGAAAAGTAATCTCATCTTTTACCCCACCCATGGGAGTAATCCCTAAAAAGAGAAATTCTGACCAGCAATTATATGACCACAACTACCTGATATTCTAGCTGCTTAAGATTAATGCTGTAAGGACAAATATCTTCCCAACATATACAATTTACCTGGACTATACCTCCAGGTGTCAAAAGCAACCTTCCTAGCTTCAAATACTTCCCACTTGCAAATGGAAACCCAAAAAAGTCCAGATGTATGTGTGTGTTGGGGTGGGGGGGAAGGGGAAGGGACAGGTAACACCACCACCATTACCACCTAATCCCTTCCTTGGGACATGCTATAAGGAATCATGTTTTTCTTGGCTGACTCCAGCAAATAAATCCCAAATGAGAGGGCAAAGCTGCTTATGGATTATCAGAGTGATAGCCATTCTTATCAAAGGACCTGGTTTGGAGAAAAGGATTAAAGTAGTCACAGACAACCTCATCACACAGATAAAGCCTGAGACACCTCCAAGGATATGAGATCTTCCTCCTCTAGGAGAGTTCAAAAATCCTCGTCAAGTGGCAAAAATAGGCCCAAATTCTAAAGAAAGAACAATCCCAAAGAGCCCACCACTTCTCTGGTGGCAATGTCAGAAAGAAATACCTATCTCAATGCCTCCTTGCAAAAAAGGCCAATGGCACAAAAGATAAAGCATCACAGGGACAAGACAACTAGTGTATGCCATACACATAAAGATTAAACCACGGAGCTATCAAAGCAGTAGCTGTGGTTCCCAAGATGTTCCCATGCAGCAAAGCTGATGAAGAATGGACTGGCATAGGCAACAGCAAACTTGAATATGACTGAAATTCAGTCTCAAAACAGCACCACTCATTCTATCCTGGGAGAGATTTTCTTATGCAACTCCAGAATCATCTATACAACACCAAGGGATGACAGTTAGAGAGAGAGTATTGGAGGAAAAAAAAGTTTCTCGTAGACCATAAAGGAAAAGCTCTCCCACTTAGGAAACAGAGTGCAATCCTGAACATATCTGAATTATCCACCATTCAAAAGAAAACCATCTCCTGGGTCCATACAACTCAGTGGGTGGCCCAACACTCAGTCCTTACCAAAAGCAATATGCTTTTAGTAAATCAGGCGCAGGCAACTCACAGCACACATCACAATTGTCACGGGGCAGATGCTGTTTGGCAAGTAAATCCCAGGTACTCAGTAAAGGGAGATGCCAGGATGAAATCATCTTCATTCCATCTCCTACATACACTGCTGAATCTTCCTCAGAGTCATATAACACCACACCTTCAGAATCCTCCTTAAATAAGCCTGTAACACCTTCTTCACCAAGAGAAAAGGAAGCAGTTGTTGCTCACCACTACTTTAGAGAGAGTGACTGGTCCAATTTGGGGGGAAAACAAAAGAAACCAGACAATGGATTAATATTAGTTTGATTACCCATATTCTCATTTCAAACTAAATTAGGCTCTCCTCAGAAAAAAGCCTGGAAGTACCCCATCCCACCCTCTGTGCTTATGAAATGTTGGAAGGACATTAATAAGAGAGCAGAAAGTTAGAACCTGCTCAAAAAGAAGGTTCATGAAGGCACTCAAGAGTAGACTTTAATCCTTAGGGGGTTTTGCAAACCAGACCTTTGCCTTGAGTCCACTGCCTCTGGGAATCATACTTCTGATTTAATCTCAGTCACAGAATAATCAAGCTTGCCTTAGAGCTACAGACTGTATTTGGTTCATTTTTAAAGATTTAACTAGGTCATTTTGAAGAACAGCTAAGAGGTCAGCAAGCAGAGAGGAAATACCCTAGGACTGCTCTCACAGAACCAGCCTGTAAGCAGCTATCATAACTATTATAGCATTCTCCCTCTTCATCTACTGTTAAGATGGTATTTTACGTTGTTTGTACGTCAAAGGGGAATTTTATATTTTCTTATATATACTAGGAGAATTTTATATTTTCTTTTTTCTTTTCCTATTTGCAATCATACATGCATGTGGATAAAACTGATATTGTACAAATACTAGTTACTAGTATGTTACTTTTGACCCCCCCACCCAAATATAGAATCATTAAAAAAAAAGGACCACAAGATTATCAAATCCTACAGTATCCTCAAGGCAGGATCACCCCCATCTTAAATACTTCGTCTTTTCTAACACTGATCAGAGAATTGTATTAAAATAAGTAAAACTGCATTATTCTTAAAGCCGGTCTTTGTTTCACTGCAATGTCCAGCTAACGCTTTTCACCAAACCTCTTGTCTAGCTTCTTCCTAAGGACTGAAAGAAACATGCATATCTTTAAGTATTTCCTTGTTAATATTTTTACCATTATGAAAGTAAACTTTGAAAGCTATTTAGTAAGACGACTTCACCACTCAACTAGATCTAATCTTTTAGCTTCAACAAGGGTTTTGTTCATCTTGATTCATTTGAGTTATCAAATTCTAAAACATGAAAATTCCTGTTCAATTTGTTTAGGACCTGTCTCTGAATTTTCTCCTTTAACTGAAAGCTCTGGTGAACACACTAGATGCAGCACTATCCTATTCTGAGACCTTTCAAGAAATACAGTTCTTTGAATGGGTTCCTTCAAGTAATTTTTCAATATTTAATATTCTACCTTTTATTTCAAGTCTTGGCCTGTGCTGGGCCTGAATACACACAAATCCAAAACAGACCTATGTTTAAGGATCACTCCAGCTTTCATTTTAAGGCCCCACTGCCCAAAAAGTGTCCTTTTCTAAGGTCCTCAAGTTGTCAGCTACTATTTGGAATTTCCCTGGTACACATGCTGCAACATTTTCATAGTGCCTAGAAGCACTAACGGTAGACCAGGATCTCACCATGCTTGACAACAATATGTTAATCTCATTACATGAATAATCCCTGACACTTCAGGAATTTGTCTAAATCTTTTATTTTCAATGATACAATGCATGGCTTGTTTATCAAAAGCTTGAAGGTATCCAAGACCCTGCAAACAGGCTTCCCCCTTTGTGAAACTCTTGCATGGCCATATGGAGACAATGGTAACTAATGGTAGAACACAGGACTCAGACTGTGGAAAATCAATTTAATTCCCTTCTGTCGCTAGCTATTTGGACAAAACATTGCCTGTGCCTCAGTTTCTTCATCTGTAAAATGGGAACAAAGATAATGACCTCTGCAAAGTGCTTTTATTATACTGAGATACCATATCAGGATGTAATGATTCATTTCAAGTATGGCTTTGACTTTTGGGCATTATTCTTTATACCTCTTTACTATTCATCACTTCCAAGAACAATGGCTGGGACCACTATAGCATATACTTTGTTTAAACCAACAGTATCAATTGCCTTTAAACTTTGTTTTAACCTGCATTTGATGCACTCCAAATTGAGCATTCTACAGTGCTGTGCAGATGTGTGCCCCTGGAGTGCTTCAAAATGGTTGTGAATGCAAGCAGTGACTGTAGTCTCCAGCCAGGCAGTTGGAGAGCAAGAATGCTTGCATGCATCAGATTGCAGTCCTTGAAGGTTCCTGAGGATAACAACCCACTCACTGACTGTCCACCCCACTCTCCTTCCCCCTCTCACGAAGCAGTTTGGGATGGCAGAGGATCACTGCTTGGTGCAGATGTTTCAGAAAGCACTTCAAAATGAAGCACTTAAAGGATGTTGGGTTTTTTTGAGGAACACTTCTGAAGTGATTCTTTGGGTAGGAACACTGGTACGCTCTCTGTATGGAGTGCTGAATGGCACATCTGTGCTTAGCCATATACATTTCTACTTCCTTCAATAACAACAGAATCTTACTTGCTTTCCTCTGGAAAAATGTATAGTATTCCTCTAACAACAAATAGATACTTTCAGAACAGCCATGCAGAAGGTGTGAATTTCACATTTTCAGGATGGAGTTAAACTTCCCAGAATCTGTTAAACAGATCTACAAAGAGCTGCACTATTTCACAAGGGGAAAAAGAAAGCTTTCCCCATAACTGCTTCATCAAGCTTTTTTGCACTGTTCATATATGGATGTGACCATACCATCCATTTTTTACTTCATTTGGGGAGCACCAGAATTATCATTTTCTAGCCTATGCTAAGCACATGAAGTACAACTATTTTTTTCCTATAGATTCTGCAGTGGTTTTTGCTAAACCTGCCCATTTTTCAATCATCCTCCTCCAGACTTCACGTAAACATTTTGTGACTTCTCTCTCCATGGATTTTTTTTTTTCCTGAAAAAGTTACCTGGACTGGCCCCAATCAGGAAAAAAGCTGTCAAACATGTACACCTCATCTTGTCATTTGTGCAGAATTCTGGGTTTAGTTTCTCTCTCCACTTCAGGCCACTGAGAACAAATGTGAACTTATTTAAAAGGGCCAAAGCTAACCTCTTTAAAAAAAAAAGTTCTTTTGATTTTAATCAAAATTGTGCCGAAGTTTATCTATGGACATACTTCCTTGGAAACGGACACAACTCTATACTGATGAGCTGCTCCCCTTCATCTTTGACTTCAGACAACTCAGGGCCCTCAGCCCTGCCCAGCCCAGGTGCAAAGGCTAGCCTGGGCTGTGGCATGTGTGGCCAGTCCCACTGCTCCCAGGTGCACAGCACAGCTGGGGCAGCATGGCAGCCAGACTCAGCTTCCTGGCAGCAGCAGCTCCTTCTGGATGCTGCTACCAGTATCATTGCCATTGCTGGCCCTGGCTCCACTGCTCAGGCACCCCAGCCCATCTGCCCCATACCCAGCACTGGACAAAGCAGGCAGGCAGGTGGGCAGGGTCCCCATGAAGACCAGTCTAGGACCCGTGAAAAGGGTGAGCTCAGAGGGCAAATGGGATAGGGCTGCTGGTGGGCAGGGAGTTGTCTGGGAGCAGGATGGGCAGGCAAAGCACTGGAGCCAGGATCTCAGGGTGGTGATAGCACAGGGCTGGGGCCTGGTGTAAAGCCACAATCTGCTCCCCACACACTTCTGTGATGGGCGCTAGTTTTATGGGCAGGCATGTGGCGAGTGGATCACAGCTCTGTCGTGGGCCCCAGCCCCACTTGGTCATCACCCAGTGATCCTGGCCCCAGCTCCAGCCTCACCTGCCCATCCTGCTCCTGGACACCAGTCCCTGTCTGCCAGCAGCCCCATCCCATCCCATCTACCCAGCTGAGCATGCCCTGCCTATGGGGGTCCTGGGTTGGTCTCGATGGAGACCCTGCCCACCCTGTCTGGCACACACGGCGGTGAGTCTGGGATGGAGCAGCCTGGGCTGGATAGGAATTGATTGTCTGCCCCCCTCCCCCTAGCTTACCAAAGCTCCCTATGTGGCTCTCCAGGACAAATAATTGTCCACCCCTGTGCTAGCTGTATCACCTGTTCCAGGATTGGACCAAATGTTAGGATTCTTCTGAAAGTCCTGTTTAAAATCCCAAAGATCAGTCTCTCTTGCAATGTTCTCCACGGCTTTTAAAAGGGTTGCCTCATCTCCAAGCTTTTACACGCTTTGGTAAAACTATGTTCTCTCCATATATTACATTACTTTCTGGCTAGAAGTCTCATTAAAAGCTGAAGATTAGCATTTCCTTTCCACTTATTAACACTGGTTCTAAATGAGTTATTCTTCTAATACCAAATCACATGACACTAGTAAAAAAAAAAAACAAAAAAACCCAGAGAAATTGGTTCTTTTCTTACTATTAAGAAACTTATTTTCCCCTTACAAATTGAACCAGAACTCTTCTAAAGATCTTCCAGTTTGCTTCCCTCCCAGCTTCACTGTAAGTGTTCTATCTTCCCCCTACCTGGATTCCTTGCACAGATTGAAAAAAGACCCTAGTTCTTAAAACATTGCAGTGCATGTTAACTGAGAAATGTTTGCTGATCATACAAATTTCCAAAGACAATATGTCAATGTCAGGGAGCAATATATGTTTTTTAGCCTTATGTAAAAAAGATCATACAAAAATTAAACCAAATTAAACACAAAAACTTTACAAGAACAGAATTAGGCAATTTAAAATGATGTTACTCACCGAGCATAATTGAGTCCCCTTGCTTATGTGAATTATTTGGTCTTAATATGCATATGGTGCTCACATTAAAATATTAAATTATAAAAGTGCAACATACAAGAGAAATGGTTGCCATGGGAAGCATAACTTTTAATTGTGTTTTTAAAATGTCAACCATAATATTGAACTAATGTACTGCTGTTTAATTGTCCCTTTTATTGGAAAATGAAAGCAAACAACCAAAAACCCACAAAGGGGGAGAGGGGATTGGGAACTGTAAGGTGCCAATGCATTTGAATGTTTGTATGTTATGTTAAGCACATTTCAAGCTTTGGGAACCATGAGCCTTTCCAGGACAACCGTTACAGAACTTTCAAGATATCAAAAGGGGCTAAGAAGTTACACAGGGGATAGAGTAAGTGCTATTCTCCGGGAAGGCTGAGAAAGTATGTCTTATCCAGAAATGCTATCTGCTGTCTATGAATACTTAATCTACAAAGAATGCATGTAAGCAATATGCAGCTAAGCACACTCACTTATCCATGCATTTTGGCTAAACTAATTTTATTTCTCAAACTTTACAGAAGCATGAGTTTTAAAATCAAGTTCATTTGTTGTTATTCATGTTCAAGAAAAGCAACTATTTTTGCTTAAAGCATGAAAAAAACCCAAATTTTGTTTTTTGTTGTTGGACAAAAGTCACCAGCTGAATGGAACTTGATGAAGTTTTATTAATAAAAATTCACTTGCAAGTTTAGAATAATAATGAAAAAAAAATAAGCCAAACTGTCAGAACCCCTAAAATCATAAAACAATTATTTATCATGAATGTACCTTTTCTCAGCCAAACAGAAGTGTTATAAATAAGGTGCTATGGAATCATACTAGTTGCACCAAGCTGTACTTCAAGTCATCCCCACAGGGTAGAACTTATTACTTAATCTGCCCACCAACCTAGCACTGCCACTGTTGTATTAACATCCCCAGGGCAATAATCAAAAGTTAAAGTTTATCCCTTTCCCATTACTTTTAACCGATGACATTCTTCATTAGAAGCATTGCCTTGTTCACATTCACTTAACACAACTATTCAAAAGACTGTCCAAATTAAATTGTTTTTCTTCTGATAAATCTACACAGGTATATTCAAATATCTAAAAAGATCATCTGTGTGTCAGTTTTCTTCTGCTTCTCCTTTCTCTTAATATAAAACACATATCACATGTGGAAACCAAAAAGAAAATAAACTTGAATTTTTAAAGGAAAAAGTTCTTATTTAAAACTTATATTCCAGTATACTACACTAAAAGAGTACTTCTAAGCAATACAGTGAAAAAATAGACTATGGTTAATATAGCTCAAAAAATTAATCACAAGTTTAATGAGATACAATACTTACCAAAATCTACCCTTGTTAGTATGCACTGCATTGGATGGTCAGTTGTATGCCTTGTTGTTGTTGCACCACTTTCATAACAAGATGCACACAGATCGTAATCGTAGCAAATTAAACACTTGTATCTGCGACCTCGAAAATTTCCTTTTAAACATGCATCGCAGCTGACACCTGTAAACAAAGAAAACTGTTCATAAACGGTGGTAATTATACTTTGTTTTGATGAGAGACTAGTTTGCTGCTATCCTCATTCTGGAGAAACAACCAGAAAAAAGTGAAAACATATTTAGGAAGGTTTTATGAAATTAAAAGACTACATGATTTACTTCATAAGCATATTACTCCTCAACCATAAAAAAGGAACCTAGTGTTTAAAAAGAAAAATCTGAATTCTCCAAATGGAACAAAAACAGTCAAGCCTCCAAAATGCTAATCAGTTCAGTCCTATAATCCTTTGTACATGACCTTAAAAACAGATGCACTTTAAGCGCACTTGTTTCCAGAACACTGTCTGTTATAAAGCTTTGACCAAAATAATCAGAAGGTGTTAAAAGTCACACACAACTGATGAAGTGCTTAACCTGGATTGCACATTTTTTTAAAAAATGGTTGGAATCCTAAAATCAACTGTTCTATTATCCAGGATCTTATTTTCAAACATTTCCACCATTTTGATGACACAGAAAACAACAACCATCCTTGCAAAACAGAACAGAAGTAGGCACTAGAACCCCTTTTAAAAGACTAGGAAGGGGGGAAAAAACCCCACAATTATGTTCCGTCGGCTGCCTTTCAGATGTTTTATTCAAGCTCATTCGGACCTTATTCGACTCAATCAGCCCCATCCCATCCACCCAGGTGAGTGCACCCTGCCTGTGGGGGTCCTGGGCTGGTCTCCATGGAGACCCTGCCTGCTCCATCTGGCCCCCCCCAGAGGAGAGTATGTGGCGGGGTGCCCAGGGCCGGATAGGATCAATTGCCCGCCTCCACTGCCCCTCATAGTGTTAACTCCTCTCCACCCCCACAACAGCTCACTGAAACTCCTTAAGTGGCCCTCCAGTCCAAATAACTGCCCAGCCCTGTTTCAGGGGGACTCTTCAACAACTTAAAGCAATATTCTGTGGTTTTCCTTTCAGACACAGAATCAATAGCATTAAG